CATGCAGACCCACCGGGACACCATGTTGCCAACCCCAAATGCAGAGAATTACTTTAGAACTGCTCTCTAATTGCTCTTGAAATTTCTTCCTTAGGCAGAACCACTGGCAATTCGTTAATTTCCCCTTGAGTTCACTGCACTCTGATAGGGTCTTAACCAAATGTTGCAACCATGAGAGAGCGTTTTAGGGCTCTGACTGAACTCCCTGAGCTGAATGCCCATCTCTCTCCAAGTCGTTGGCAGCTACAGGGGCTACCAGCTCTGCCTTGTGCCCTTCCACAATGTGGAGAGTGGCTAAACTTACACCTCTAAAAACTAAGAAATTAAGGTAAATGCCATTCCCACAATGCAACCTTAACTCTTCCCCCTTAGAGCAGGCAATAGCCACTGAGAATGGTTCAGTAACTGTGTTGCCATAATAAGTAGACATGAAGGACTAAGAAAATGTACCATTGCTTGTGTTGTGCATGCACTCGTCTACCTTCACTGTGTGAGGGGTAGCTGTATTGAATGGTGAAGAGATTAGCTGCAGCGGGTTGGCAAAGCTGTCACTGTGATAGGAGAAGAGGTGCAGGTGTACTTTAAAAGGATCAATTATGCTTCATTGCCGTGCAGAATTCTGTAGGCTGTGTCAGTAGAAATGCACAAGGGAATGTAGCCTGGAGATTGTCAGCAATCTGCTGACAATGTCATGAGGTCTCCAGGGCTTACTGCAGGGTCAGTGAAAGCCCTGTCTCAAGGAATCCTCAGGGCAAGAGTGAAGGCATGGGGACATTTTGAAATTCTGGGGTGGTTTGTGGGGAGTACACTCAGTTTTTGAGTGTAAGTGGCAGCTGCTCACTATGCCTGACCTATCCCAGTGTCTTCCCTTATCAAGAGAAGGTGGCAGACTTTATCCTACACTGCTCATCAGTACTCTGTTCCTGAAGTGTTCTGTAGCATCTGTAAAGTTAGAGAGCTAATGTGTGTTACTGGTACGCTGGGACTTCACTCAAAGAGGGCAGAGTTAAGGTTATGTTGTGGGGGTAGCATCTACTTTAAAGTTATATTTCCTGCTTTTCATGGGGATTAAGTTGGCACAGGGTTTCAGAGCTATCTGAATAGTAAAAGCAGCTCCTTATTGGGGGAGCTGTATCTGAGGAATCCCTAGACCAAATGAACACAACCTCACATCACTAGCTCTGCCCCCGGCCCAGATGAGGCACAGCAATTTTCAAGACAATCCAAGTCCACATGTGGATTTTAGAACACACAGAAAAACTGGCAGTTAAAAAGGAAGCTAGTCTCAACTTTAGCTGTAGTGGTGCAATTGCTTCAGTATAATTCACTTCAGCCAGCCCTAGTCACGGCATTTATTCACTTTCTCCCCAATGGGTTCTCAGATGTCTACTGCAGGTTGATCTCCGACTGAAGCTTTTCCCCACACTTGAGGCACTTACAGGGTCTCTCCCCAGTGTGAACTTTTTGGTGCCTGGTAAGGTTTGAGTGCCGACTGAAGCTTTCTCCACAGTCCAGGCAGTCATAGGGTTTCTCTCGTGTGTGAATTCTCTGATGCCTACTAAGAACTGACTGATCACGGAAGTTCTCCCTGCACTCAAGGCAGTGATAGGGTTTAGATCTCTCTCCAGTGTGGATTCTCTCATGTCTAAGAAAGGTTTACCAGTTAAAGAGGGTTTCCCCACACTGAGAACATATGATTTTTGCTTCGGTGTGGATTCTCTGGTGGCCAATAAGGTGTGGTCTCTCACTGAAGCTTTTCCCACAGTCAGGGCACTTGTAGGGTTTTTCTCCCATGTGGATTCTCTGATGTATTTTCAGGGTTGGGTTGTCAATAAAGCTTTTCCCACACTGAAGACATTTATGAGGTCTTTGTCCTGTGTGGGTTCTGCGATGTATAATAAGGTGTAAACTCTGACTGAAGCTTTTCCCACACTCGGTGCATGTGTATTTTCCCTCCCCACTGGAGAATCTCTGGTGCATCATGTTTTTACTAAGATTCTTCAAACCACCTTCACATTGAATGGATTTACCCACTTTCTTCCCTGACTGGTTTCCCTGCTGTCTCTCTGGCCTGTGCTGACACCCACCAGCTTTTCCATGCTCTGGACTCCAGGACACAGTCGCTTCAGATCTTCCCAATAATGTAACATGAGTTTCAGGATCTTCCTGCTGAGGATTCTCTTCCACATTCTCACTCATCATCCCCTCACCTGCTGGGACAGAGAGAGAATCCAAACAGGAGTCATTCCCTGCACTGGAGGGGGAAAGGAGAGAAACAAACCCAAATAGCATTGGAGAAACTGAAAAATCAGGAACAGAAGGCCAGGAGCTACAACAGTTTGAATGTGGGAGATGGATTGTGTGATTCAAATTCCCTTCACCTCACCAGGGAGAGATTTTAAACACTACTGTAAAATTAAAAACTTTTTTAAAATTTCTTCTGAAGTGTAAAGAAGATACAAACAAAATTAAACAAAAACAGTTTTAGTGAGTGGCAATTAAAACTACTTACATTTATACTTCTGTTCTTTTCTTGCTGCCACCACAAGCTCTTTAGCTGCTTCTGTCTTCAAAAATCCAGCAAACTTGGCACATGTCATTTTATAGTTGAAGTGCACGAATAGCTCAGCTTTCACCAGGTCCACTTTGAGCGGATTCCTTTCATCAGTCCACAAGTTCTTCAGAACACTGAAAATGTGTTCCACAAATGCATTGCCGGGTGGTATAGCAAGCACATGCTGCACAATTTTAAGTAAGCTCGGGGCCTCCAAGTGCTTAAAGAACTCTACCCATACTTCAGAGACATTGATTTGATGATGGTGCACTTGTTGCTCCTGACACAATGTTAATTCAGCATCATTTGTCAAACTCTTTAGGGTTGGTAGCACATCATTCAATGTACACATTTCTGTAAATAGTTCATCGCCGTCCACTTGAATGTCCAAGTTTGTAGTCAAAGCACACAGTTTGTCTAGTTCAAGAGGTCTGTCCAGACTGAGCGGCGCACACAACATATAGAAAGAGTTTTCGCTGAAATCAAACCACTTTTCCAGGTACTGTAGCATGCGTGTGTAAACCCGTTGGGCATCTCCAACAAATTTATTTTGCTCGTTAGGCGGCAGTTTCTTCAAGAACTGTGTCACCTTGTATCCATAGAAGCCTTGCTCTTGTCGAATCTGAATCTCTCTTCTCAGCTTGTTGAATATAGCATACAGGTCAGTTACCTGAATGTAATCACTTTCAAGAACCTTTATCGTGTTGTTAAATTGGCTCATAATGTTGTGCACAAAGTATATGTACAGCTCGGGAAGCGTAATAGTTTCATCATTGGATACTGTGTCCTCCTGCTCAGAAAGAAAGGCCCATATTGCACAGCTCACTGTTTCCTCTTCTTTGCTCATAAAGTAAGACTTGAGTGCAGGCCAATTCTTCAGTAACCTGTCGACGGCAGTGAAAAGGGTTAAAAAGTGTGTAGGTACATGGCATAAGATTTCTGAATATTCTGTCTCCATGAAATCAAGGAACTCTTTAAGTTCACTAATATTCTTTGCACAGGAGAGGATTCACTGAAAACCTTGATGACCAAGTTCTCTACATCATAAGACAGCAATTTCAAGCCATGTTTCGCTGTATTGTGTACTATGTGAGCACTGCAGTGCCATGGCACAAGGTTTGATAAATCCAACATTTGTTTTAGGTGCACCAAAACAGACTTGTGTTTTCCAGAATTGAATGATGCGTTGTCTGCTCCATATGCCACAATTTTATTATTAACAGACCAGCATCTTGAAGACAACTTCGTATGTTGTTTGCAATTGCCTCTGATGTCTTATCTGCATCCTCAAAAAAGTCTATGATACATGTGCAGCTTCCCTTATCTTTATTAAAGTAGTGGACCGCAACTGGGAATAATTTTGTGTTCCCTTTATTAGAAGCATCTGTCACTATTGAGAACGACGTTGATCCAATGTCTTGCACAGTCAGTTTCAATTAATGGGGTGCTAATACATTCTCAATCAAAGCCTCCGCTTTTCTCCTTCCGCAGTGAATTTTGGACGCGATCTTGGAATCAGTGAAAATGGAGGGGTACAGCTTATTTCCACAATCTTGAGAATGGTAGTTGTGGTGATGTTTAACTCCATGATATGTTAAAAGCAATTCAGCCATGCATAAGTGTTGTTCTTCGGAGCTATCAGCATTTACGAAGAATTTATCGATCATACTAGACAACCTTTGAATCTTTTTCTTTTTGGGTTCTGCCATTTCACCTCACACTAGTGTGACTGCAGCACAGTTTAGCCAATAGATACAACAGTGTCGACTGTGGACGTCACAACACTAACTACATAGCTGACTGTTGATGCCTGCTGGCTAGGGTCTTAACTCTTTAAAGGCCAGTTGCTCCCCACTGCCTGTGGTTGTGCACTGAAAAAGTTATTCAAAGATTCGATCAAATATATTTTTGACAGATATACTATGCTAATTTCAGGTTTTATTTGTTACAGGATGCTAGAAAACACTAGAAAATTATGATAACTGGACTTTTGGTGTCCAGTCAATATGTCTGACTGCACAGGTCCCCTTAAAATTGGACATATTACACCTCTACGCCGATATAACGCAGTCCTTGGGAGCCAAAAAAATCTTACCGCATTATAGGTGAAACAGTGTTATATTGAACTTGATTTGATCTGCCGGAGTGCGCAGCCCCGCCCCCCCGGAGCGCTGCTTTACCACGTTATATCAGAATTCATGTTATATCGGGCCGCGTTATATCGGGGTAGAGGTGTAATTATATTATATTATCGTTTTCTGTGGAGCTAAAGTTAACATCGGTGTTTTGACCAGCTTGTGTAACATCCAATTCTGCAAGGACATCTCTATATTGGAATCAGTTCAATTAGCACCACCCTGGGAACTGTACAAACTGCTGCAACTGGCACATCAAACATAAAACCGCATGCTTACAGTTTTCATGGTTAGTACAGTTTTATTAAGCCATGGCAAAATAATGTGAAAGCTATAAGATAACAATGTCATTTACATTTGATACCAGCTACTCTCAAGATTAACAAAACAAGGAAGTAACATGTTGATATATTAAGTCAACTGTATTAAGATAAAGATTAAAACAAAATTCCGAATATATTAAGACAATAAAAAACCCACACAAAAGAGAGCAGGGCATAGTTTAAAAAATATCAAACTGCCATACAGTTGTAAGATGAGGATTTTCATTGGTCCTCATCATGTCCTGATGTTTACATTGTCACATCATCTCAAAATATCATCATATTGGTGATGGGCAGTTGTAATGGGGTGCAATTTTTATGGGTGCCAAGTGGCCTTGAGACATACCAAAAACGGTGGTTTACTTGCACAATCTGGCGTGAGGGCAGCCCTTAATTTATAGGATTTGGACTCTCTACCAGAATAGTGGTTATTGCTAAAGGTTGTACAAAAGAGGACACAATCTAACTGGAGAAAATGCACGTGATATCAAAGTAACTAAAAAAAAGTCCCAATTTTGTACAAAAAGCCATGTTTTAAAGGTCTTATAAACGTACAGATAAAGGAAAACAATAGTACCTGTAAATTTGGTTATAAATGGCCCTGGATAGATTTCAGCAGCATCAAACTGCATTCTGCTAGCTAATTATCATTACTATTAACCATCTACCTTAGTGCAAAATACAGCTTAGGCGCTTTAGGGTTCAGACTAATCAAGAAGCAAGATTAACCACTGATGTAGGTCATCAGTTCCATAACTCAGTTGATACAAAGCTGCTACTCATTGCTTTTTACCACAAAGTAATTTATATTTGAAAAAATAAAAGGATACTATTCTCTGATCTGAAATATTGGTGTAATTACACTTTTATTACGTGCGGATCAGTCACAAATCTCACTGTATACCCATTCCAGTGCAAAAAACCTAGCTGTATAGAGGACAGAGAATTAGATTAAATCCAATGATATATCTTCTAGGTCAGGAGTCGGCAACCTTTCAGAAGTGGTGTGCCGAGTCTTCATTTATTCACTCTAATTTAAGGTTTCGCGTGCCAGTAATACATTTTAACGTTTTTAGAAGGTCTCTTTCTATAAGTCTAGAATATATAACTAAACTATTGTTGTATGTAAAGTAAATAAGGTTTTTAAAATGTTTAAGAAGCTGCATTAAAAATTAAATTAAAATGCAGAGCCCCCAGGACCGGTGGCCAGGACCCGGGCAGTGTGAGTGCCACTGAAAATCAGCTCGCGTGCCGCCTTTAGCACGCGTGCCATAGGTTGCCTACCCCTGTTCTAGGTTATACCTTTTATACAAAGTGCTATATGGTTCCACCTTAAGTGCTCAACACATTGAAGTAATGTTGTAAATGTTATTTATTTGTATTACAGTAGCACTTACACCAGACAATTGTGCTAAGCAATGTACACATCTATAACATACAGTCCCTACCCCAAAGATCTTACAGTCTACATATTAGACAAAAGGTGGATCTAACAAACAGACAGGGGGAGCAACGGCAGTGCATGTTGCCCTAACCAATGTGCCTCAACTGTGCAGTGGAGCCTCCCAGCCATGAGATATCTTGTTCTTCTTGATTCACACTTCTCTCTCTTTGCTGGGAGTGCCAGTTTAACAAGAACGTGGGACTGAACCTAGGGCCTGATGCTGCAAACCCTTGTTCACCTGAATATTCTTATGGAACTGAACGGGACTATTTACTGGCCTGCAACCTCAGCTGGATTCATACCCTTGACCTGGTGGGATTTTCAAAATGTCTAACTTCATCTTTAGGCACCTAATCTTAATGAAGGCTTGATCCTTTTATATATCTCCTACAATATTCTCCAAGTATACTTGTGCTAAGCAGGCCTTGCAATTATATGCAACCTCATAGTACTTGATAGCTTAAAAAAAGGGGGAAGAGTTTTTAAGTGTCAATGCTGACTGTATTCAAGGGCTTGATTCTCCTCTCTCAATAGCATTACATTGTTATAATGCCACTTGGCCAGATCCTCAGCTACTGTACATTAGCATATCTCAAACCAAAAACAAAACAAAAACACCAAAAACCAGAGTTCCACTGATTTACATCAGTTGAGGATCTGCTCCATTGGTTTTGATGGAGCAACTCAGGATTTATACCAGTGGAAATGAGAAGAGAAGCAGCTCATAAATATCAATTACTAATGACTTACCAAAAAAAAAAGTTTGTGAGCTTATAAGACAATATTTTTCATAATATAATATGAAGAATCTATACAAATAGTACAGTTGCTTTCTTTGTGTGTGAAAGACTGAGTCTCTAGTATGGATGCAACAACAACTTCTGAAGTAGATTGAAATGGTTTTTCAAATCAGAAAAGCAGAAGACAAAGAAATTAGAAATTCTTGACATATTGCAAGTTCATATAAAATCTAGTGCTGTCACAATATGTACTTCAGCCAGGTTGCTATTAAAGATCATGTATATTTTCTTAAAAAGAAGAACAGGAGTACTTGTGGCACCTTAGAGACTAACAAATTTATTAGAGCATAAGCTTTCGTGGACTACAGCCCACTTCTTCGGATGCATATAGAATCTTAATCGTGCATGATTGTACATTAAAGTCTCTTTCAGTACTAAAAACAGCGTTTTGAACATTAATTTTGCTTACATTTGCTGTCTCAAATTTAGAAGTAGAAACCCAAATCCTGAATGATTCAGCCTGAATAATTCTGTTCTTTGAGCTGGACTTCTCCACTCTGTAGCTACATTTCTTTGTCTGTGTCACCCACCACAGTAGTATCTAAACACATGAATGCTAAATTAGTGGACTTCTATAATCTGGCTGTGATTTTTACTTTGTAATATCACTTGTAAATACATGTGGCAATTTCAGCAACGGTGGGAGATTTCCAAATCCTTGATTGGATTTAAAGTTTGGATAAGTTTTTTTAATTATATGGTCTGGG